AGATATGATTGAGGCTTTACAAAATTAAATAAATAAAATGATTTGTAACAAAAATCAACTTTTAGTTTCATTAAAAACAAAAATCAAATTAGTAATTTTTAGTTTTATTATTAAAAAAGAAAAAAAAAAAGAAGTTTCTTAAAAATATAAAGTCCCATGTCTTTTAGTGATATACAAGAACAACAATTAATTGACTGGGTTCGTCGACATTTACCAGAAGAGTTAATTTTAAATACTGAGAAAGATTTCAGAGATGGAGTACTTTTAATAAAATTATGTTGTAAAATTACACATACAAAAAAGTCAACGTATAAACATACAACGAATATTAAAGGAAGAATTCAAAATATTGAGTCTGCAATGAAAATGATAAGTGATAAGTATGGAGAGATTGAAGGTATTTCAGTTAGCTGTATTGCTAATGGAAATAAAGACCAAACATTGTCATTTTTAAATTTTATTAAACTCCAAAGAAAATTTGAAAAAGAAAGAAGAAAACAACAGTATATAAAAATTAGAAAAGATTTAAAAATTTTTGAAGAAAAAACAAGGTTAATGAAAATTACTACTAATTTTTCAATTTGTGAATCATCTGTTAAAGATGGCTCAGTTAGTAGAAAAAGAGCTTTTACTACGCGTAAAGATGGAGTTATTCAAATGACTGGAACTACTCTTATTAAACAACAACAAAACCAATTTAGAGAACGTACTATGTCATTATTAAATCCAATTGCTCATTCAAAAAAGAATGATAAAAGAATTACTCTTGAATCTTCTCATCCTTCTCAATTACTTCAAAGTTCTTCAGGTTGTGTTATTGAACAATTAGCAATGACTCTTCCATCAAGACCAAAAACTGGATTTGGTACACCAGCAAAAAAGAAAAGTAGAGTTATTGCTGTTAGAAATGGAAATATTGAAAGAAAAAGAGCGTCATCTGTAGCAGTGTGTCAAATTAAGTCTGAAAAAAATATATTAAAAAAAGAAGAGTTAAAACAAAAAGAATCATCTTCATTTAAAAAAGAAGAAGAGTTAAAAACAATTAAAGAAATTGATAAAGAAATTGATAAAGAAATTGAAATAAGAAGTAAAGATGATAATAGTATTAATGAAAATGTTAACGAAAATAAAACACCTGAAATAAGTGAAGAAGAACAATTTTCAGAATTAGATAATTCAGGAGATGAAAAAGAAATTGATAGATGTGATTCGATTACTATTCCTAATATTGAAAATATACCAAAAAATAATACAGAAGATATTATAGGTTCTAATTATTCATCAAACATTTCATCACCCAGATCAGATAATGAAGAAGAAACATTTATTGAATTTGATGAAAAAGAAGATCAAGATTTATTAAAATGTATTGTTAAAAGAACATCTGAAGAAGAAACAAATAAAGTTGAAGAAGAAATTAAAGAAATATCAAAAAATATATTTTTAATGAATGGGATTTATTATATTGTAACAGATATTATTGACGGAGAAAATATATTACAACCATTAGATTTAAGTGAGACAACTCTTATTTGTTTTATTCAATCAACGTTTAGAAGCAAATTATTAATTAATGAATATAAACAAAAATTAATTGAACAAAAACAACATCTTCACAATATTCAAAAATTAATTAAAGAAAAAGAAGAAAATGTAATAAAAATTCAATCAATTATAAGAGGATATCAATTTCGTAGTAGTAAAATGTATCAAAGAATGAAAAATTTAAAATTTGCAGTTAGAGAAATATTAGAGAGTGAAAAAAAATATTTGAATGATTTAAATATTATTAAACAAATGATAGATAAAACACAAGAATTATTACCAAAAATTGATATTGTTAATCAAGCAAAATTAGTAAATGAAACAATGATTAATTGTAATCAATTACTATTTAAAAATCTTGAAGATATTATTAAAAAAGATAGTTATGGAAAACAAATTTATTCTGCTTTTAATGTATTTATAAAATATTTATCATATTATACTACTTATATGAATATTTATTTCCCTTTAAAAACATTTTATGAAAGTGATAATAATACTATTAAATCCCTCGTTAAAAAATTATCTAAAGAATTTCTTCAAAATACACCACCTGATAATTATTTAATTCGTCCTATTCAAAGACCACCTCGTTATAAATTATTACTTGGTGCAGTTAGAGATAGTTTACCTAGTTGGTGGAATGAAGAAGATTTAGAATTAAAAAATTGTATTTCAAAAATAAGAGAAGCAATTTTTCATTTAAATAGTTGTATGAAAAAGAATACAGATCAAAAAGCAGTTAATGATTTATTTTCTAAATTATCATTCCCAAAAAAGTTTCAACCAAGTAAAGACGTTCAAAGAAAAATTGTTCATCAAGGATTTTTAATTAGAAAAACAAAAAAATTAGAAGAATTTTGTTGTTTTTTATTAAATGATTATTTCTTAATGACTAAAGTTAAAAGAGAAGAAGTTGGGGATATTCCTAGTGAAAATTTAAAAAATAAAACTAAAGTTTATCATGTTATTGATTTAAGACAAGTTACTTTAATGGATGTGCCAAATGATGTTACTACATTTTGTATTAATATTCCAGAAAAATGTTTTATTCTTCAAGCTGAATCAGAAGAAGATAAAATTACTTGGATGCATGAAATTGATGGTATTTTCTCTTTACAACAACAAAAATTAATTAGTAGAATTGAAAATTTACAATACCAATTAAAAAGTATTGATATTGAAGCTTTTAATAAAACAGAATTTCTTATTCATCCAGAATATGAAGATACTATTCAATATTTTAATCAAACAACTAATTCTTGGGAAGAATTTTATATGATGCTTCATGGAAATGTTGTTTGTTTATTTGTTAGTGGTGAGTCTGCTGCAACACTTCAACCACCAATATTAGTATTTGATATTCTTCAATTAAAGTTTAAAGGATTATTAATTTCTACAAGAAAATATTCTTTTGAAATGAATTATAAAAATTATACTTACATTTTTGCTACAGAAAATAATCATTGTAAATTTGTTTGGTTATTTTTATTAAGAAATGCTTTTTATAAGAATTGTAGAATGGTACTTGATCTTCATGAATTTAATGTTAATGAATTTAATATTAATCTTCTAAAAACGTGGACTTCTTTTGATGACATTCCTCCTTCAGATGATGAAAATTATAAATACCTTAGAATGCTTCTTCTTCAACCTCATAATCAAATATGTACAGATTGTTCTGAACGTCAATCTTCGTATGTTGACTTGGACTATGGTGTGTTTATTTGTGATTTATGTGCCTCTCTTCATACAACATGTAATCATACAAAACAAAGTTATAATCCTGTAATTACTTTCTCAGAATGTCTTAATGTTCCATTTGAAGCACTTGCTGTTTGTTATTTTTTTTATGTTTATTATTACTCATTAACATTGTAGAAACTCCATGAATATGGAAATATGAGAGGAACTATTTTGTACACTAAAAAAGCATCAGAAACAACATATAGACCATCTAAAAAAGAAATAAATAGCAACGAAACTCTTAGAAAACGTTGGACTTTCGCAAAATACGCTCAACCAAGAAGTTCTGTTTTTGATTTTTAATGAAATATAAGTGTTGATTATTTTTAAAAAGTTTCTTGTTTATTCTTTATTTAATTTTCGTTTTTTATGTCTTAGAAGAGAATGCATTTCTTTTTATTCTT